AGAATTTGAGCTTAATAAATTACCGTCTCTCGTTTGATTTGCTCCATCTGGCTAATTCAGTTCAATCATTTGTTTAAAAAAAAAAAGACAGAGAAGGAGTCAGAGAAGGTCCAGTTTTCTTTGATTTCTTGGTCCTTAGGCAAGCACTGTTCACTACAAGAATCTAGCTCTTTTCCTCAGGTGTTATTGATCTAGTTGAAGTGGTTCTGTCTGCCCCCTCACCACTGAACCGCTTCTGAAGTGAGGCTATTTGCCATCAAGTCTTTGTGGACATGCGCCATGGGATCTCCATTCACCGCGCAATCCTCATTTTCAGCACTTAATAAGTTTGGGCCTTTTCTTTGGGATGTTGCAGCTGAAAGACACACACACACACACGCACACACACATTCACACAAATGGAGGGCGTAAGGTAGCAAAACAGGGATATAGAGACTAGTGTGGGGAGGTAGCTGATTTCCCTGGTGTGCTTATATCTGAGCTGTCGTCACCTGTCTCTTCTCAGGGATAGAGGCGCCTTAATCAGGAACATGAAAGTATCTCCTGTGGTGCTGCCTCCTGTCTCTGTCACTCGCCTGTCTATTACTTGATTTACCATTGCTGGAGTATTAGCTAATTTTCTTTTTGGGTCCAGCATGAGAACTCGGCTTTTATAAGTGGAGAGCAATTCACATCAGACCTGACGAGCCAAGTTATTTCTGCTTTAGAGGGCCTAAAGTGCCCATAAATGATTTGTTTAAAAGAAAAAAAAAAATACAGCAGCATGTAATTTTATTTAACCCAAATCTTTGGTTTTGGCATCCTGGAGACCTTGGAGCCGGGTTTAAAACCTACTCCACATAGCTTCGTCGGCTTTAGCCAATGACATTTTTCGCGAGTCTGCTACGGAAAGCGACGCATTACATGTGTTTTGAGGATCTCAGCTGTAAAACGTGGTTAAATACAACAGATTTTCATTCACTGTGTAAGCTGGGACTTCTACTTTCTACACCAGCCAAATATGTCTTTTGGAATTTTAACACCATCTGCTGTTGGTTATTATCAGGTTGATTTAATCCACATGTATTATTTTATCTGTTGGTTCTCGCGTGTTCTTTGTAGCGGGGGAAAACATGAAATATTTATGCGTTTGGTGCAGTAGTGGAGGGTTTTTTTGAACATAAAAACTCCAGTCAGCGCTGAAGGGAAGAGCTGCCACCTGAGAGCAAAATTACAGAAGTTCATTGTTTTGATTATTCGCCAGCAAGAAAGTAAAGCCAATCTCAAGGCAACACTGTTATCACTGTCCATTGCCCCCTTCTCCATCACACAGACAACTGTTAGAAGTGATGAGTTTTGGTATGCATGCTGTGCACCCTCGCGTGTTTGTCAATGCGAAGTCACTCCGTTCACCTACTTTTGTTGCGGAGGATTACCTTATCTCAGTAAGCAGCAGGAGCTTTGTCTTCTGTAACTCAACATGTGCGATTAGCTCTCATTGTGCAACAGTGTAATCTGCGCAGATAATGGCGTTCCCTTAATGCGGACTCTTTTAAAGTTTGCAGAGACGCAGCCGTATTTGAATATTCAAAAATGTCTATTTGAATTTGAAATGTAAGGAGAATATTATACAGGAACATGAGATAACCTTTTCCAACAGCAGTGTAACCTCAATATAACCAACTCTTTTTTTCTTTTTTTTTTTGGCAATTGACTGATTCAGCGGAGCAGGTTGTGCAGCGTGGTCTCCTGGGAAGTTTTCAGCACAACATTTGTGGACTTGGTTGCCAAATAGAGAAGCATTTGGATGTTTCCTCGACCATTACAGTTTTCTGGCACCAGCACGGCCAGGTGTAGCGCATAATCAAGATACTGACAGATTATTTTTGGCACCCTAAACACCTCCCCAAAATGTAATATAGCAGGATGTCATCAGATTTGACACATATGCAAAACGTGCCCCGATGTCTTGCGCAGGGAGCTCATTAATGGCCTCTTCTTAATGTATTCACAATGTCTCCATTTTCTACCCCATTTTTTTTTTCTCCACTCGCCGCGTGCAATCTTTTCTGCCTGGATCAGAAAACCTGCACGTTTCATTAGATTTACATTAGAAAGACAACACAACGGAGTGTGGGATGGTCACATCAACATGCTGTGTTCGCGCCAGCAATCTACATTACTAGTTCAGGTGGATCGGACTGATGTACATCCAATTGCTAAAGTCTAGATGTGAGCAAGACTCTGTGAAATGCAGACACACATTTACAGTCCAGCAAACTGCCGGTTTTTGTGCATATATTCTTGGAATATTCTTCGCAGCTGCTTTGACAGTTCAGTGGAACCTGATCAAATGCTGACGAAATTAAGTCTTTTCATCAACGCAGGACAAAACGTACAAACGCTCCAAGTTGGGTGACATTTCACGAAACAAAATGACTTATTAAGGCTGATCAAAGCATGACTTGGTTCTAAAATAAGCCTTTAGCCCTTTTAATTCGCTTGATAATGCGAGAGGAACAGATTTAAGGTGTGGCAAATCACGGACAATGAGGGGAATCAATGCAGGAAGTAGCTGTAATTGTACTTTCGTTGACAAGTGACAGAGCTTTATCCCCTGTGTTTGGCCAAGAATTCCTGGTAAAACTGTCAGCAGTTGAAATGTGGCGAGGGTTTGTTTTGTCCCGTGCTGTCACGATTAAATGTCGCCGAGCCTTATTTAAATGCAGGGATTGTATCTATGTGGGTGAAGTGCTGTGGTAGTGCTATGTGTCTCTCAGATAGGTTTTATTGGCTCCCTTGCTCTGCTTTGATGCTCACGTAAGCCGCTCCTGCTTCATGGATGCAGCTGTAAGCATTGATTATAGTCCCCCGCCAGAGATAAACTCTGCCTCACACCTTTTTGGAGCCCTTTTGTTCCCTTTCTCTGTATATTTTGTCTCCGGTCCCTGTATTGATAATTCCTGATGTTTATACATCCGTCGAGCCTGCTCATTTTACGCAGGTGTCACAGTGAATTAGGGAAAGCTGTGAAAAAAAAAAAGTGATTTAGTTCAGTCTGCTCACATCTGAGGTTGTTCTGAATTTGTGCATTTGAGCAAATAAAAAAGATTACAACATCAGATATGTATTAAAATAGAAATAAAGGACACCCTGATGCCAGAAATAGACGTTTCAGTTAAGTTTAAGGTGTCGTGTGCGTGAAGCAGCCCGGGTTTTTATTTAAAACATGTTTTTCAGAAATGCACCTGTTTGCTTCTCTATCCTGAAGGTCAATACAACTTTATGTAACATAAATGGCTGCAGCCAAGAGATCCTGGCTTAGACGCAACTTGTGGCACTTACATTTCACACAGAACAAACAAACAAGGTTGAACATGCACATCGGCGAGACTCGGAGGTCACCTTTGCACACATCCGGATTTGCCGCCGGACTTAGGTTTGTATTTAACCGACGCACACAAGTGGCATCAATCTTTTCGTGTCATTTAACTCTGCGAGAAAACTAAGTTTATTTCCTAACTATTCTTTTAAAGCGACAGTAGTGGCCACAGGGCAAACGGAAGTCATACCAGCAGCAGAATTGGCAGAAAACTACTTTAAAAGCAGCAGAGCGATGAGGCAGACATGCCCTGTTTAAAATCATATTATTAAACTGTCTGGATTTTTTTCATTTTTTTATTTTTTGTCATCTTCTTTCTGTCATGGCTTTAGAGACGAGCTCTACAAACGGTTAGTTTGGCGTCAGACTCCAATGTTGTTTCAGAGCTGACAGCTCATAACGATGAGTGACAAGTGTCGGAGTGTGAACTTGTTCGGCTGAGCGTCAGGAGGGCGGCGAGAACAGCAGACTTTGTTGACTTGAGGCAAACCGTTTGATTTTGTTGTGTCTTTAGTTAAGTAGTACATCACACTGGTACATAACTATTTTATGGACTCGTTTAATAGTGTGGATGTTAAAATGAGACTCGGGTTTAAAGCGTGGGAAACAAAACAAGGCAGACGAACATGTGTGCACCTCCGAACTCGCCCGCTCAGCCTGACATTACGTTCAACTGTGTAAACACGCCTCGGGCTCTCATTTGTTACTCTGCCCTAATGCAGACAATGGTAACCATAGTAAAAGTATTTACTTTCATTCAAACAAGATTCAAATGAGTATCACGCACAAAGCAAATGAATTCACTCCATCGCTGCACCACTCTGAGGAAGCCGCCGAAATCTGATGAGTTAAGAGGGAAAGTGAGGGTGAAACTTCTGTCTCAGTGCAGAGGTGACATTAGAGTGTGCAGCTGCGTTTCTCTTTGTGCATGAATAGAATCGGATCATTTAAGGGCTGAATGCACTCAGGATGTTTGAGCATCTTCATTATTTTTTTGTGCTATATCTTTAAATGTCATTACTTCTCATTGATTGATCAGGCAGGGCACTCCTTTGCTTTTCTTCCTGAACTGCTGTGGAGCTGTTTTGGATTTTCAGACTCGTGCTTCCAACACAACCCACTCGTGCGTTTACTTTAGTCTGAGCACTGAGAGGCCTGAAATGTAAATGTGAAAAATAAAGAAACCAAAACAGCGAGCAACACCTCATTTTCAGTCAGTCCGTGGCAGCCTCCTCTTCCCTGTAGCCCTCTGGCTCTAACCCCTCATCGCAGCCCATTGAGACACTTCTGCTGGCACCCTCCTCCCATCCCCCTCTGAAGCACTTTGTCTCCATGGCAATGTTTTGAATGAAATTTAGGGCAGGAAAGGTTGTTTTTTTTTTTACCCAGGGAGCTGTAAAATTAGCAGAACTCTATAGAATTTGCCCTCCTTGTGTGTTTAAGCGCAAACTAAGTGGTATTGATGAATGTCAGTCAAACAGGCACAGAAAAGAGGACACTTTGAAGCAAGGATTTCCATTTTCAGTAACAAAAAAATCCTGCTGCGTTGGAGCTGACAAGATTAGCCCTTCTGAAAAAGTAACCGAAATATGCTTTTTTTTCCCTTTTTTTAAAAAAATGTTTTCTTTCTCTTGCACAGTTGCCGGTTTGGAGACAGTTAGCGGCCTGTATGGGGAAACACTGGAGATCCCGTGCCACAACGGAGCCATACAGGAAGACGATGTACTCATCACTAAATGGAAATATGTAAGTCACGGAGGAGGTCAGCGGGTTTCAAAATGGTGAAATCCGTCTGACATCCACTTATCGTGTCTGGACCACGCCCAGTCTGAGTGCATGCATTAGACCATGCATCTGTCCCTCCATATGACACTGCAGGAGGGTGTGGAACAAAACGCTGTGTGCTTTTTTTTTGAACTGGAAGCCAATGCCATATTGAAACAGACATGTAACAACCGCTCTTGCTCTGCTCTCCAGGACAAAGGAGAGGGACTTCCAGGAGACCTGCTGGTCAAGCAGAAAAACCACAACGTTTTAATCAGCGCCACCGACGAATACAAAGACCGCGTGAGCATGGCGGCCAACTCCAGCCTGCTGCTCTCCGCGGCCAAGCTGAGCGACCAGCGGACGTTCACCTGCATGGTGGTGGCCCACTTGGACATCAGGGAGTACCCGATTAACGTGGTCATCTACAGTGAGTGCAAGCTGGCTTAAGCCTAAATTAACATTCCAGTTATTAATTGGGCTGCTGCCATCAGCAACATGCAAGCCTCAACCTCCAGTAAAACTCCTACTTCATTAATTTTTTTCTCACAGAGTCACCGGAAGGCCTGGAGATTTCTGACCAAGCAGAGGCGCTGGAGATTGGCAAACCTACCAAGGTGCAGTTTTTTTTTAATGATAGCATTGCTTATCCCTACATTATATTAAGCAGCGAATCATCAAGGGAAATCCCTCACTTGAGCGAAGGTATCTTGAGGCCTAACAGAGACCATGCGTGTTACTACAGTAATGAGTTCTTTGAAGTGATACTCATGAATTAGTAAAGAGCAGAACCCCCCCTCTCACTGCAATTAAAATACCCAAAGGGTCTGAGCGGGCTTTAGAAATGCTTTGGGCATTTCATGGTCTGTTGCGTGGAAAACTCTTAAGTCTTCAAATGATGGAGAGGCGCTGAAAAAGCTAATTCGCTCATGTGTTTGGTCATTTAAAAAGAGTCACCGAGTGCAGATTTTTTTTTTATTTACATATTTCCTCTTTGAGTGCAGGTTTTCTTTTCTATGTTTCTTGAGTTTTGTTTTTTTTTTTTCAATTCCGCAGCTCGGAACATGTGTTGCGAAAGACGCCAGCCCGGCTGCAAACATCACGTGGTTGAAGAACAACAAACCTCTGGTGGCTGATGGCAAAGGTGCGCATCCCTCATCCTGTTGCACGTCTTTTTAAAGTCTAAAAAGACATGACATCTGTAAATATTACATACACAGATGTTTCTATTCTGTCTGACTGTGACAGCTGCTATAAATTATTCCGCTGTGATGAATTGTGCTATACTCGCCAGGCAGTGTGTGTGCGCGGTGTTTTGGTCATTACACAACTTTTTTTTTTTTTCTTTTCCTTGTCAAAGTTTTCACAGAGTGTTTGTTTGTTTTTACATCCAGGGATTTCCATTGAACCCACCGTGCTGGTCGACCCTATTACCGGCCTCTCGACCACAACCTCCACACTGGTGTATTCTGCCGAGAAGGAAGACACAGATGCCCAGTTCACCTGCAGCACTCAGCCCACCGTGGGCTCAGAGCTTGTGTCCTCTCCGGTGACCCTCACTATCACTTGTGAGTCACACTTTTCCTTTGTTTTGGAGAGGAGCTGTTGTTCGAGTACACTGCAACACTGCTCATCAAAAACCATGAAAAGTTAATATGCTGGCTTAACTTCATAAAAAAGTAATTTTTTTTTTATTCCCAGTTGAATGTTTTTTACTAGTTAAGCACGAAATCTTAAAAACCGACTCGTACACTTTGATAATATTTAATGTGACGTTAGGCCTTGTGTTGAGGAGCAGATGGTTGTTTTTTGTTATAGATTAGGATCCAGCTGTGGATCCAGGATTGACTGTATATATAAAAGATTGATGCAGCCCTCGGGGTCTGAACAGCCAGCAGGGGGCGGCTCCTCCGGTTGCATAAACAAGTCAGATTGTATAGAAGTCCGCGAGAACATGATTCGAATTCTCACCTCGTCTGCTGCCTTTTTAAGCAGTTTCCAAGCAGGTTTAGCGTCTCAATCACTAGTTTTAAGACTTATCGAATACTTGTGCCAATTTTGTAAATCAGTATCTTATGTAGAGTGAAACAGATGATAAATTAAGGTATGTTTTAGCTGCCGTATCACAGTGCCTTTTCAGTCAGATCCACCGCTTGCTTGTTATTTTCAAAAGAGCAAACGTACGGCTTTGTAACGATAGTCCGCAAACCAGTGGGTGATGTCGTTACATCCGTCTTTCATATACATGCGATGGGGTCCAAGCATTCCCCAAAGCTCCACGAAGGGAATTCCTGCAAGATCGAAAAGTGTTTTTATCTTGTCGATTGACACAACTCTCACTTTTGTATGCCGAATGCAACATCTGCAACCAGCAGATGGGTCCAAACAAATAGGAACAGCAAATCAAGCCCTGTTGGAAAACTGCCTTTTTTTTAACACGCTTTGTGCAAATGTTAAAAATTACTGAGCTTTTGAGGCACTTGTAGGTAGATTTGCTACCCTCATCGCCCTTGTTTCCACTCTCTCTGCTAAACCAAGCTGCTGGCTGTAACTTCCTACACATACGAGAAGGTTTACAAAATGTTCAACTATTCCTTTAGGTAAAGCCTTTCTCTCATTTGGCAGATGAATCTCTTGACTATCACAACTTTCTCTTTTGTTAAAGAACCAAAATCCAGTAGGGAGGAGATTTTTTTGGGTTATTTCTGCCCTTAGACAAAGGGTAAAATAGATATTTGTGCAGGTTTAAAGGAAGCACATACTGTCTGAATGTGTCCAATTTGTTGGAAATGTGAAAACTTATAAAACGGCTCCACGGCAGGGTTTTTTTTCATATTCTGAAAATCACTCTGGTCACACTGTTTTATACCAGCTAGATCTGTTTAAAATTCTTCTTATTGGCGTCTGTGCTTTTTCACCCAAGTGCATTAAAAACAGCTTTTTCACATTTCAAAAAAAAAAAAAAAAAAGAGTATTGACACAGAAACAGTGGTGCTGTTTTCATTTCCAAGCTTCCATTTATTAACTTTATTAACGCTGTTGTGTTTCTACTGATTTTAATATATTTTTGTCGAGTAAACAGCTGCCAATTCTCATTTAATATGACAGGATAGGAATTTAAAAACACAGTGAAGGGAACTCTGGTCTGACTGTTTAATTGAAGCTGGGCTTTTTCAACATCACATAACACAGCAGCAGCTCCTGACCCATTAGAAGACCAAAAAAGAGTCTTTGCAGCTTCAGCCAGTAGAGACAGACAGCTGTCTGCCTCTTTTTTTCTTTTTTTTTGAGGCTACATCCACGTTTTTTTCTGTAATTCTTTTGCTTCCAGCCAAGACAGACAACATTAATGACACCTTTTGATGGTGAAAGTTGAAAAATACAGGTTGGATTCTGCAACTCTGCAGCGAGGTTTATCCCGAATGCAGCATTAAATATTGAAGCTACCTGCTCAATGTGGCTGAAAGTAAAACTTATTGGAGCTGGAACACTTTCTTACCAGACCTTTTTTTAAAAGAGTTTGCCTCAGATAGAGCAGAAACATTGCATTTTGAAAGGACGGTTTGGTCGAGTGCCTCAGATTATGACTGCAATTCAACCATCTCCTCAGCTGCATTTTGAACTTGGTCTCAAGCAACGTCAAGGCACAAAGTTAGGGCTTTCTGTGGCGTCGCTTCTCTGCGGTCGGCTGGTGGGGGGGGGGACCACGCTCCACTTGTTACGCCCTCCACCCTCGCCTACATCGCCTCTCTGACTCTCTGCCTCTTATTTTTCCTGCACAGATTCCACAGAGAACATTGTCCTTCAGGTCATTGCTCAGGAGCCTCTTGTAGAAGGAGACAACGTGACTCTGAAGTGTGTCGCAGATGGAAATCCGGCGCCCACCAGCTTTAACTTTCACCTTCAGGTGCTCATAAATATGAAGTTTCTTCCGTTTATGCTCATTAGAGCTTAGAAAACTATTTAACTGAGGTGTTTTTTTTGTTTTTTCTTACTTGGACAAGGCATGAATTTACCTCCCATTTTTGTTGATCTGTCTTTGAAGGAAGAAACGGTGACAGTGGAAAACTCCAATACTTACACCATCAGGAATGTGTCACGTGAAACCAGCGGTGAATACAAATGTTCTCTAATTGATGACCCCTTGATGGAGGCTTCCAAGGACGTCACAGTCAACTGTAAGAAAAAAAATACCACAAAATCTAAATTACTGCAATTTGGCCTACATCATTGTGGATGTAATTTCCCTTTTGTGCCAGCAATTTTATTTGTTACAATGAGAGCAAAAAGTGTTTGTTCGTAAAAAGAAAAGTCCCAGAATCTCCCCTTTTGCCAGACTGCCTTCTTGTGATTTGTGGAGGAAAAGTGTTGTGTCAACCACACTGCCTCTAATAAGCTGCATCTGCAGGGCTGTGAGCCAAGTGCAGGGTTGTATGGTTAACAACAGAAATGTTTCGACCCTTATCAGGCCTCTGAACCATCTTCTCGCCCTCCTCTTCTCTTTTTAGACCTAGACATCAATTTAAGCCCCTCTGGGAACATCGTCGAGCGTGTTGGCGAGGCCCTGGATCTAACTCTCCAGATTGATTCTTCCGGAGAATCAAAGGTCTTCTGGACAAAGGTAGAAGAGGCAATCTTTTACACAACAAAGCCAAGTAAAAGTTTGTGCCTGTTATTGACAGTGGTGATATTCTCTCCGTTTAATTCAGGATAACATTATGCTGGACAAGGAGCCCAAGTTTGCCGCGCTCACTTACTCCGACTCCGGTAGCTACGAGTGCGAGGTGACGATGGGGCTCCTCAGCCGAAAAGCCTCTTTTGACCTGATTGTGGAAGGTGAGGGTTTAAAGACAACTCTGGATGAGAGAAAATACGGATAAACAGCCTGGGTCAGTCCAAAAGTGAAAAACAAAAGAAAACTATCTGTGAAGTTCGCAAATTAATTAATAAAGTCCTGTTTAATTCATACAAAAATCAAAGCGTTAAAAAAAAAAACAACCTGTTGTGGTTTCAACAGGGGCTGAAATCAAAGCAGATTCCTGATAGTTATTCACAGCCACTGCTTGTTTTTTACGCTTCATTTTCCATACAGATTAAACATACATGAAATCGTCTGTTAATTGGGGCTTCGGAGGTGCTGTTGGCGGGTTTTTCTCTCTTTTGGACCGACTCGCTGTTTCTCCAAAGTTTGAGCTGCCGCTGACTGTAGCTTCATATTTAACACACAGAGCGGCACTTATCGTCTCATCTAACTCTCGGCGGGAAAGCCAATAAGCACATTTCCCCAAAAATATCAAGTCATAAAGACTTTCCTCGATCAATCTGTTTTCTAATTCAGTCTGAAGACTTACTGTATGTCCCGTTGCAGGTGCTCCGGTTATCAAACAGCTTTCCAAACACCGCGGCGAAGACGGCCAACATAAAGTCCTAATTTGTGAGGCCGAAGGGTCCCCGAAGCCAGCTGTTTCCTGGAGCATCAATGGCACCTTGGTATGCACGCTCACACGCTTAACACTCAGCCTTCATCACAGTCACACGAGACTCATTCCCATATAATTGTTACCATTTCTGAAGGTCATATTCATCAATTTTCTATAACTGCACATACATTTATTCATCCTGATTAAAGATGTAATTTTTCTTCCATCTGCGCCACACGCACACAAAAAGTCCTCCCATCCTAAACGTTAGAGGCAAACATGCTTTATTAATAGCATCGTGTACACTATATTTGAGGCATAATTGTAAATATATAATTGTTAGATGTATTATTCAGCTTATTGTCGTGTCAGAGCAAACAACAAAAAAAGTATTTTGCTCTCTTTTTTCTAAAGAACAGAATCTTGTTGTGGGTAATCTGCTGTCAGAAGTCTTATCTTTATTATGGAGGATACAGCACATCTTCGACGTTTCACCAGCTTTGATTAAATTTCCAAAGCAGCTAAATGCAGGACTTTCTTGATAGATAAATGCTGAATGTAAAATGTCAGTATATGATAATAGTTTGCAAAGTTGGTGTATTTATGGAGAATAATTGAGGCTTATGTTTGTTCTTACAGAGTGAGATTATAGAACAAATACACCGTGGGCGCATGATATATTGCGATTTCAGGGTCAAAACAACCGTTTTCTATTTTTACTGAGTTTCAGTGTGTTTGCCGCACATTGTTGCTCTAATAGTTCATACCAGAAGTTCCACCCATCGCAAAGCAGTATTGTTTTCAAGCGGGGTGTAAAATTACAGACCAAACACGTCAGCTGTGCCAGATTCTGTGACACCTGTGATTAGTGTGTAACAGTAAGTGTGATTTATTACTGCGGTAAACTGAGTCATCGGACACATGGTTGGTCAGAAATAACAAAGGAGCGTACAGTAAAGTGCTGTCATGCCAACTGTCGTTGCTTTAACCCTCTAAATCCGAAATCCTGGGTTGAAATGCATGTTATCGCTAAAAATTATACCATTTATCAGAACCATGAACAGTACAGACAGAAAGAATTGTTGGATTTTCAAATTACCAAAATTTCTTTTACTTGTCTGTGGTAGAAAAGTTGTCCAACTAGTCATCTGTAGATGCTCTTCCATCGCAAAACCTAACCACAGCTATCCTTAAAACTGCGATATTTCATCAATATCACTTTATTTAACACATCTAATTTAAATTTTGGCCCTAAATAACCCATTTGGAGTAACCAGATTTTGTAAAAAAGGAAATGTTTGGTGCTTTTTGGTGCAACCATGAACAAATGTGACAAAAATTCAGGCACTTTTTAGCTAAACTTAAACATAAGTAGTAAAATATCCATGGTAAGTAGAGTCACTATTTCATTTCCAGTACTTGCACAAAGCATTGGGCACTTGGAAAAAAGTTGTACACATTGATTCCAGCTTTTTTCCCCCCCGGTTGTTGTAAAATAAATGATCAGAGAAATCCCGCTTTACCTTTTCCTTTTTATTTTTTAAATGATTTACGACATTATTACTGTGTCATTCTGCACAGAAGACATTTAGAGTTCACCGTGGTTGTTTCCTTAGAGGTTCGGGACACAAAAATGAACCCACAGTGAGTAAATAAAAGTGACAGGATCAAATAACATCCCGAAACTGCTTGAGGTTCTCAGGGTTAATGAAAAGAAAGTCAAAGTCGAGTTGAGCAATTTTACCAGAAAATGAAACTGAATTCAATGCTGCTTCACTCACCTGTTGATCTCTGGTGTGCAGGCAGGCATTTCCCAATCCAGCAAACAATGCAACTGTAAATGTAAATGCATTAAAAGAGCTATTGTCAGAATGTGCTGAACATAAACAGCACTTGATTTAATCAGCTCAACAATTAAGCGTTTTAAAGCCGGGATGTGCGTCTTTTCAGTGGTGATGGCGAACAGTGTCGGTGCTGCCTTAAGAGGCTGTGCTGGCTGGTTGTTGATGTCTGCCCTTTGTTTTAATAAGCCATTGCGAAACCTGTAAAAAAAAAAAAAAAAAAAATGTGCCAGCGTGTGAAACTGCTCGAGCTTGTGTTTAATTTCAGCAAGCGAACAACAGAATTTATCATCATTGTCATGGCGGACAGCTGCAACCCATCAAGTGATGACAAGCCGATTTCTCAGTGGCAGATGATGAAGGAAGAGTTTCCCTCATGTGCTTGTTAACTCGTGTGTTTTTCCCCCCCGCACTGGCCAAGCAACAGTTTATTAAAACGCCAAGATGTGCATCGGCTTTAACAAGTCAGCCCTGCGTCCCACTTATTCATCAGGTCGTCCTCATTATCATCTTGAGACGCACTTGCAACCAAAAAATACGTTTTCGAGTTATGCCGTGAGTGTCCATTTTTCGCCCCTTGTAGTCTTTCTTTGGCGAAATCAATGCCGGTTGCTATAGCGATGCACTCTGACAACGATCTTCGTATGCAAGATGACAACAAGTTTGACCTCCGGTAATAACTGCAGCGACTTCCAAAGATCTCAGCATCTAAATGTTGTCCGCAAAATAGCCAATTTGTATTGCAGATGGCTTACAGCAGTTGAAAGGAAAACCAATTCTGACTTCATTTAGAGCCACAACAGGTATGTAGTTGGTGATTATATTTGAGATGAACTACTGATAGGCTCGTGCGGCTGCTAAAATGTAATGGCGTTGTTTTCCTTTCACAACAAACCTATGAATAACATCAGCAGTAAGATGTGAAGGCACGATTAGACGGGGGAGACAGTCGTGGTCCTGAGACGGTGGCTGCTTTGCTTTTTGCACCGCAAAGTGAGCGAAAATAAAAACTCCCCGTCACGTGCGCGCTGTTAGTATTTTCCTCCTGCCTGTCACACTTTTTGAACTTATCTGGTCTGAGCATTTCCAGGCGGTTGTGCTCAGTGTTTCGAAAGAGTAAATTTCTTCATTTTCTCCGAGGCTCAAACACAGTGTTTGGTGCCATACTGTCATGAAGACAAAAAATTGTCTGTTTTCTAAATGGAACTTTTTTTTTTTTTTTCCAACCTTTTGTTTCGCTGGTGTACCTGTGCGCACACTGATAGCGAGAGCCACTCAGTGAAGCAGTGTGTGAATCACATATGAACCCGGGGGTGGGTGCAAAGTCTTTTTTTTTTTCTTTTTTTTAAAAATAAAACACAAGAATCACCTTAAAAAGCTGAACCTGTGTGTCATAATTAATCAATTCCAAAGGTGCGCAGAACTCTTTCACTCCAAAAACATTGTGTTTAGGAGATAACACACATTTCTACAAATCCAGCATTCTGTTTTTTCTCCTCTTCTTATATCCTGTCCTGTCTTTTTTTTTATTTTTTTTTTTAGCCCTATTCACTAAGAGAATAATGTCAAGCTTGAATACAGGCTCAGTAATGGGTATTTACAAAATTGCCACATCCTCTTCTATATGTAGAGGATGCGAAAAGGGTGTTGGCAGTTTGTCTTTGTGTCTGGGGTTTTCCTCTGAGACTCAGGAGTCTACATCCCAGAGGCACACATGCTGTTTCTTTGTCATGAAAAAGGCTGAGTCACTCGTCGGTGCAACATCGCCCCCCAGTGGCCGCAAATAATCTCGTGGAGTGTGTAAAATATACTAATTGTTTATTTTCTCTTATCATTCAGCTCGATGAGAGTCCCTTCATCAACGGAAAGATCACACACAAGATCACGGTTGTGCCCTCCGCAAATCTAACCGTCTCTTGTACAGTGACCAATGACTTTGGCACTGATACCAGAGCTATTAATGTGTCATCTTGTAAGTACAAAGTGATAGTAAAGTCCTCTTCGCTCTCTCTGTTTCATGTTTTTTTCCTCCTACTCCGATTACTCACTCTTTCTGTCTGCATGTTTACTTAACCTAATGTTTCGATGCTTTACTGGTAATTTAGCAGATAAAGAGGCTGCAGAACAGAGTTTTCGAAAGTGGCGCCGAGGTTAATACTTGTGTAACCAACCTTTTTGGGTCATTCCGTCTCAATTCATCGAATGCCTCAGGTCTGACCGTCTTCGGTTTTCTTTAAAAGTGGTGAATATTGACTGAGTTGACCACGTGTACAATCCGGGTTCACAGGCAGCATACGTTTCTGAGTTAAAAATTATTAAATATGGGAGGGATCATGTCGATTTTATGGATCTTTTCTTTGCACCAATCTATGGGGCAATGTTCAAAGTACCATAACTTGAAAACTAATGTAACTAGAGTCCAGAAATTTGGCAGGCCCATTGATAGGTACATGTAGTCTTCAATGGTGCAAGCCTGCTTTGATAGAATAACACAAACCTGTTACAGGATGGTGCAAATTATGTCAAAAAAAATGTTTCTGTCTGCTCCAGTATTCCGCCAACTATAAAACCTTTATTTTTCACCTTAAGGGGCTGTTTCTTTTCCCTATGATTGGCACTAATAGGCGCTTTAGAAAATGTCGAGCATGGTGCCAGTCAGAGGCGCACTTCATAAGGAAAACTATTAAAACTATGTGGGGTTTTTTTTTGCATTTATGGCCAATATTACGGCAATCATGGAACAGTATCCAAAAATGTTACATGTTTTGCTTAAAAGTCAGACAAATGTGAGGCGGTCAGGCGTGAACTTTATTTATAATTTGGTGTATTGAGGCGGAATGACCTTTATACTTTGTTTTGCACATTTATCTCACAATAAAGCAACAGTCATAGTCGATGAGTATCAAACAGAAGCTAAAGCTTAATGTTCCTTTCATTGTGTTTAGAGGTTTTTCGATGTCGGTGATTCCATAGCTGTCAAATTGTAATTGATGCATGCAATTAGCGCTTTGTCCACGCTGTTGTCTACAAGCGCTCAGTGCTTTTATCATTCCTTTGCGCCCTCCTGCTGCTTACTCATTCCTGTGAGTTTGGGACGAGCATTATCACACCTCTTTCTCTCTCTCCCCGCCTCTTTCTCGCTCTGTGTTTATATGTTGGGATGCTGGATTTAATCTGTTCCCTCTTTGAACTTCTTGCATGCAAACATAGAGTAGAAGTAGAGGAGTAGTTTTCTTTTTTCATTCTGGACTTTTTGGTTGGACTTTAATTTTATTTTATATCTGATTTCAGTAATTGAGGAGGTGAGAATGGATAAACGAGGTAAGTTGTAGCGGTCTTCTTGCTTGTAAAGAAACGGTGGGAGGGGGCTGAGTAAAAGGCAACGGGGAGGGAATCAAATGTTGCTCGCTAAAAAGACGGCTCTGAAATATTTACCTTTTACATCGCTTTGGACTGTACGGCTGGAAAAATCAATGTTTAGACAGCGTGTTTCTTGAAACAAAACACAGAGGAGCGAGAGGAATGGAGCTACCAGCATCCTGACAAGATGTCAACATTGCTCATAATCTCATTGGCTGAGGAAATTTAAATGGCGATTATCTGTCATTGGCATTTAATCATGTACAGTGCGGATGTGTCCATTCATCAATGCTTTTATAAGCACGTGGTTGTTGTTTTTTATTCCTGACATGCATTTACTGCTGGAGTTTAACTCAGAAAAGAGCGTCTCAGGTTTGTGATGGTTCTATTTGATCTTCGTCACAGACCAGTCGGATGACAGCGACCAAACCAAGCTGGTGGTTGGAGTTGTGGTCGGGCTCCTCATCGCCACTTTGGTTATAGGCCTGGCGTACTGGGTCTACATGAAGAAATCCAAGTAAGGAGTCACTCTGAACATTTCTGCTGTCACATAATAACGATCCCACTGTAATCCTCATGAAATTCACAAATTCACCTTTGACGTGTGACCAGTGAGCTGATGTTGTCATTTTCTGTCAATAACTTTCTCACTTTCAGTAAAAGGCAATTTTGACCAACTTCACACCCATCTATGACTGGGGTTAAGCCTCTAAATCTCGAAACCTGCCGGGAGATCTGAAATGCATGTTGTCTATAAAGAATGGCCAAAATTCTACACAAGGAATCGCTAGATTTCCATCTATCTGACAGCGCTTGAACTAATCATCTGTTACATGCTGTTTTATTGGGGAGCTTAACCAATTCTAACAAAATGATGTTATTCCACATGTTTAATTTAAACATATGTTTAAAAAATAACCCCTTCAATTAACCAGACTGGGTAAAAAGTAAAAACATCTTTGCTTCTTTGCCCAACTATTCAGCCATTACTGTCTCAACCGTGACCAACACTTACATGACAGAAATTCAGGGACTTTTCAGCCAAACTGCACGCTGTGTTTACAATATACAGCAACTAATTCAAATCAGTTGTAAAATCTGTATAATATATAGAGTCACCGTTTTTCTTCACAGTATTGGTACCATGTGTGGGCTATTCCTCAAAAATGTTGTACATACTGACTTAAAGTTTTTGAAAGGAAATCAAAGAAATTCCACTTTGCTATTTTATTATGATTCATGCACAGAATATATTTTTACAGTTGGCTGTAGTCATTGTTGTGCTGTTTCCATAGAGGTGCAGGATTTTATATTGCAGGAATAAAAGGAGTCCACAGTGAGGAAAAGTAAAAACACTCAGAAACTGCTTTGCTTCATGCAATGTTTTGACTTGTTGAACCTCCTACTATTTTTCTACTGTCCAATAACATTTCCACAGCTTTTTTCACATTCACTTCAGTCTTATTTGGAATGTTTGTATGTATGTACAGCATTAAGGCAGCAATAAGCGATTAAGATTAAAAAAAAAAGACAATTCCTCCCTTGAAATCTGACGTACACTTGATCCTCTGATCTAAGCTCCCTTTACTTATTGTATAACTCCTAATACCGATATGTTTTCTAAATCAACAGCTACATAGCTTAGCGTTACACCCGTTGTATACATAGTCACCGCCAAGTCCCCATCAAGTCCACACTGAGTACACAGCAGACAATGTTTGCTTCAATTTACCCAGAGACCAGCACTCCTGCTCTGGAATAACACCACCTGGCACCACGTTTTCTCTGTGTAAATTTATGCTAATTTGATTAAACACAACTTTGTGTAGGATTATGAAATATGGACCATATGAGCGCGCTAAAACCGAAAGCAATTAACTAAAAATGTTCATATGGGGTGACAAGTTCAGGTAATGAATGCAGCCATAGCTGATAATCGACTTATGATGCATATTTATGACATTCGCTACAAATTTATGGAGTAGTTTGACATTTGGGGGAAAAAATATCTTTATTGTCCAAACAAGAACACAACTAGCTAGGGAGAGAGCGACAAGTTCTGGTTGTATTTGGCCAGATTCAGGCGCATCTTAAAGTCTTGGTGTACAGGTACAGGTGATGGTAAGACTCCAGGAAGTCACTGCTCACAGCCAAGAAATAGTCAGAAACCCCTCAGTTAAACCAGAGGCTGCACTTCAGCTTGTGACCTGCGGATGAGAATCATCCTCAGGCTAACTCTGGCACAATGCATGAGAATATTTATGTGTAACTTTGTACAGGGTCGCTCACAAATAAAATAAAATCACAAATCACAAATCGCCAGTGAAGCCAGAGACTGCAGTTTATTTGGTTGGCAAAATGTTGCTCCTTTTGGACAGAGTCAGATCGTAGACTGTATGAATATGTATATTATGCTGTATAAATGGCGTAGACTGTATAAATATATGTATTATATAATATAAATAGGACGGACTGTGTAAATATATGTATGATACAGTCTATGGGCCACACTTCAGGTTTTATTTTAAACTAACCAGCTGCTGGCTTTGCTTCGTATTTGACAGATAGCTGAGTGGTATCGATCTCCTCATCTAACTTTTTGGCTATTCTTTTAAATTAATAACCAGCAAGAAAACATCCACCTCAGTAATTTTTCAAGTCTTTTAAGGCTGCTTAGGGTCTCAGTCAGTGGGGCAGCTGTCTGTTTGTCGTGCTTGTTATCCATCTTGCATCTACCAAATTAACCCCAAGTCATTTCTGGACATTTATTTGTTCCGTACACATTTTTTTACTCACTCACTTGTTCTTTTTTTGCTGCAGTATGAAACCTTGCACCTCTATAGAAACAGCACAACCAGTGATAAAAGTAGCAAGAACTCAAAAATATATTATGTACCATATGATACAATGCAATGCGGTAAATCATAAAAAAGAAAAATATTTATTTATTTTACAAAAAGACAAAAGAAATCAATATGTACAGCATTTTTCAAGTGCCTACAGGTAGGAGTCAATACTGGAAAAAAAATGATGACTCCACGTACTGTAGATATTTTACCACTTAAATTTTCATGTTTCCATACTTGTCTTCTATCTCCTCTGCATTTCAGTGCAGTTCAGACACAAAATCCATGAATTTTTCTTCCCCGACTGTCGGTTGCAGCTGAACCACTAATGGCTTCACAGCTGCAGCGAGGAATGCAGAATTTTTATTTTTTTATAGAATGTTGTTCGAGCAAACAGCTTATTTTGGGTACATTTTTAAATGAGGCTTGATAAAATATTACAATTTAAGCTTAATTAGTTTCCTGATGTAACGGCGCTTTACAGACGAGTAGTTCAAGGGTCGTTGAAAATCTGATGATTCTTACTGTTTTGACAGTTCCTGGAACTGATAAATGCTGTAATTTGGGCGATTCTTTCAAGACAACATGCTTTTTGGGTTCAAAGTTTTAAAGTAATTTGCTCCATGCTGATCATGTGCACTTAACTTGCTAATATGAGTACACAGTTGTAATACAGGGAGATAAAAAGCTTCCATTTAATGCAGGTTTAAAGTGTCTGTTATCCTCCAGAAGTAGTCAACATGCCATCATACCTTGTACAGTATTTTCTTTTTTTAAATCAAAAGACTGTGGAAGGAAAGGATTATTAGAGCATTATGTAACAACGTTTTAATCTGAACAGGCAGGGAAGCTGGAAGACTGGTGAAAAGGAAAACGGGTCTTCTGAGGAGGAGAAAAAACTGGAGGAGAAAGTGGAGGAGAACAGCCAAAAAGCTGAGGTGTAAAGAAACCGCAACCGCATTCTTGAAATGGGGAAGTGAAAGGTAGAGATCAAAACATTTCCTTCGTGTACCGATGCAAAGACGAACAAAGTCGAGCTGTTTCAAGTAACGCTGTGTTTTGTTTCATCTTCTCTTTTGCAGTGAGAACACAGAACTTTTGCACATTTCTCTTCACCTCTGTCTTTTTTTTTTGGGAGGGGGGAAGGGGGAAAAGTGTACATTGGGATGAAGACAGTTTGGATTTGGTTTCAGGGAGAATTTTACTAAAATGCATATCCAAACATTTCCCCCGAGCCCATCGACCCCTCACCCTGCCATTCCTAAAGAAAAAAAAGAAAAAAAAAAGAAAAGAATGGATACTGTATGCGATATACATAACTTGTCTGCACTACTGATGTAAACTCGTCTACTATTAGGATTCATGTTTGTTAGAATGGAATTTGGGAAAACTGAGAAAAATGCAAATCTTTGGTTTTGTTAGTCGATGCAAGTAAAATTACTACTAGACCAGTTGCCTTTGCTGTAAGGATGTGTAGGCCTGCATTAGTCTGTGTTTGACTCTTTGTCCCTCGTAACAGGGACCGGGAGACCATTATCGCTTCTTAGATTCACGCCATGACAGTCAAACGACCTCTGCCTTCGACATCTGTACACTGTTCATTTGTTTCGGTTTGTTCATTCAAAAAAAAGAAAGAAAAAAAAAAAAGTTGAAGATGAAAGGAAATCCCCGAAAGGGCTAAGGGTATGTTGTTATACTCAGCGTTAGTTATAGGTGGTAATATGATTTTCATGTTGCAGGAAGTAGGTGAGTTCTTTGGTGTTACATGATTTTTATTTTTTATTTTTGTGTGTGTGTTTGTTTTCGTTCTTTGATTGTGTGTAACCAGGAGAGAAAATGACAGAAACTCAGCTCATTTTGCCTTTTTGATTTTATTTTGTTTCAAATGTACTGTACATTCGACATAACCACTGTACTACACAAGCGGGTAGATTACTGGCAGAATGTATAGCACAATACAGCTCTTTTTCTTTCTCTGGCTTTAGGTTGACTGCTCTCGTTCTGCATTAAAAGCCATTTACTTTTTTATTTTCACGCTTCTCCCAAGGAAATGTCCTTGAGCCTGTAGTAACGAAAGGATATTTTTAGTTCAACTGTCAGGACTGTAAAGTTTGTGCTCCATCAGTGTTGGAAGTATGATTGTTTATTATGTAGCTAAGGTATAATTTTGTAATCCAGGACACCCGAGTTGACAGGATGTTTGTCTCAAAGTAGCCTTTATGATATGTTTGCCTTCTTTTGAAAATCTACCTGTAACTGCTTCAGTTTGTGATGTGCACTAGGGTTCATGTTTCATGTCAAACTTGTGTAGAATACGATGGAATACGTGCAGCTGTACATGTCACGATTTTGGTCCGTTCAGAGCATTTACTAAATTTGAAAAAATGTATCAAGGCCAGGAAGTAGTTGTGAAGTATGTGATTTTAATTTTCTTTTTTGCTATTTATACTGTACAAGATTAAATATCCTGGTAGGCAAATTCAATAACTGTCACATAACTCATATCTTGGATTTAAGCCGTTGATAAATTGCTTGCAGATTTTCCGAAAATGTAATTAAGTTCTGAGTCATCAGTGGTTTGCTCAGCGTCTGGTTGAATAATATATTCGGCATGTAATAATCTCAGACCTCCAAGCTGCTGTTTGTTGCCTACCTTGTGTAAAACCATCAAAATTGGAAGAATGACCAAAGAAAGTGAACATTGCCATGCAAGTATTGTAAATATCTGATGTTTGTTTTTGTACTTTTGTTTAAAATAAAGTGTACATTTGGAAAAGTTACGCCCACTGAATATTAATTATGTTGTTAGTTTTTTCTTTCTGATCATCTTTTGAAATAAAGAACACAGTTCAGATCTTAATTTTCTTTTTGTCCCACTTGTATGCAAACACAACGTACTTCCGGGATGATGTAGAGTGACTGTGTGGTGATTGCAGATGTGTAATTTCATGAAATGTTATATTTTGTTACCCTTATCGTAATTAAGTGATGGGTTTTGAAGACTATATTTATTATATTTTTTTCTGACTCAGAAGTACAACAATATATCATGTATTCTAGCATTAAATCCTATATATTTTTAAAAATTTTGGTGGAAATACTGCAAATATATTGAGTTTGTCCAAGTATATTTTATCATGAAGGCACGACATACATCCGTAATGGTGATTTTATTTAAAAACTCATATCTCCCAGGCTCAAAACTCATCAGAACTCTGGACTTGATCCAAAACTTATCAAACGTGATGTGGCATTTTAAATAAAAAGGAATTATTACTGCTGCATGTTATAGTCTACAATATCAGAATTCATCTCTTTGCAGAAACTGTCGTTGACATTTCAAGGGAGGTGCTATGTCAGGATGAATATGGATGAAGCTGTACAGTGCCACGAAGAAATATTCAACCCCCTCCTGATTTCTCCTACTTTTTTTTTTTTTTGTCTGTCTCATACTAAACTCTCAGATCTTTAATAAAGCAAAGGGAACATGAGAAATGCAATTGTAATTATTGAGGCAAAATACTCAACTCAAATGTGGAAAAGTATCTTTGAATTCAAGAGCTGGTTGAGCCACAACAACTGTGACCAAACGCTCAATAACCCGAGTTCTATGGCAACAGCTGGAGTGGATATGTATTGAGGAGATCCAGAAATCAATTTTTCATCATCAAGAAGAGCTTTTCAGATTTTCCACAATTCCATTTGTGAGATCAACAATATCCATTTCAGTTGTTACTAGTCTGGTTCTAGTGGATGTCTAAAATAAACGCTTTATCCAAGAATTGAATTGTGGATACCTGAAAGTGGAGAATTGTATTTCTAATGTCCAGAATGTTAACTTTGAATATCTGAAACTGAAAGCTTACTACACAAAAATGACAAAGGCGATTCAGACTGAATATCTGAAATGGCAGCTGCGAATAGATGTCATTGTGGATATCTGAAATCTTGACTGGAAAGAGTTGAATTATACATATCTGTAATACATATCCACTTTAGCTATGAAATGTTAAAACACTTCACCATAGATCCGTCTCTGACGTTGCTGCGAGGGGATTCTACCTGGCTATCTTTTGCAGAACTCCTTTATTGCAGTCTCATGGAGGGTTTTTGGAGAAGAAACTGCTCATTACAAGTTCCAGCTTTCTCAACACGGTTCAGATCCGGACTTCTCTTGTGTGCTTGGGGTCGTTGCCCTGCCGCAGTTGAGCTTCAACTCACAGGCTGATGATTGGATGTTCTCCTTCAGGATCTTCTGTCGGAGAGCAGATTTTTTTTTTTGTTTTCCTCAATTATAGCGAGTCATGCCGAAGCCTCGAAGCAGCAAAGCATCCCCCACAACATCGCACCGCCACGCACAATCCTTTTTGTGAAATTCTCTGTTTGTTTTGGCACAGTGGTGTTCAACTTTCAACTCATTAGTCCATTGAAAATTCTCCTAAAACATTTGCGGGTCAAGCAGTAACTTTTGCCTCACCACCCTCCCACAAATGTCATTTTGGCCCACAGTCGTTTTGAATAGCGGAGTCATTGATTTGAACTTTCATCAAGAGAGACCTTCTGTGACTTCTGATTTCGGAAGGTTGACCACGTCTGAGAAGGTACATTATTGTTCACAATCTTCTCCATTTGAAGATAGTCTAAGTGTGGCTCTGTGGAGTGCAGAGCCTTTAGAAATAGCTTTGTAAAGCTTCCCAGACTGTATTTCAATCACCTTCTTCCTCGTCTCTTGTGAAATTTTGTTGGATTTGGGCTCAAAGTGCTACCGGTGAGACATTTCATCCAACTTCCTGCCTCTGAAAATGGTCTGTTTAAATGATGGTTTGATTGAACAATCGCTGGTAGTCATCAGGCATGGGTGTATCCGGTCCAGCTGCAAACAGCTGTCTGTGGAGTGAAGTAGTTTTTTAATATTTATTAACTGGTAAGAATTATACTTTAAAACTTGTATTGTGTGTTTCTTCAGGTTGTTTTACGTAACTTTCTTAAAGATCTGACACTGCTCAGTATGAGATATGCAAACAAATATTTTTTTAAAAAACAGGAGGAGGTTGAATACTTTTATTTGACATAAAGCAGTGGTGGAAAGTTTAGATTTACTATACGAAGCAATACAAGCCCCAAAGCAGGAACTCTAAGTGCAACAAAAGTCATTATTGAGATCTTTTTTTTTTTCATATGTCCTTTATATTTGATGACAGACTCAGTTCTTCTCAGCATGGAAGATGTCAAATAACTGAAGATGTGTTCTGTCATTCTTCAGAGACTATTTATTTCAGCTGCTCGTTGCTGGAGGGCTTGTGTTGCTCTATCTTTCTCTTTGAAACACCCCAAAGGTGTTCCATTGGATTTAAGTCAGGCCTCATACTTCGCCACGTCTTAGTTTTTCACTTTTTTTTCTTCTTTAGAAACTTTTGTGCGATTTTCACCAATGTGCTTTGGATTGTTATCGTGCTGCAGCCATCATCTTCAGCCAAGCTTCTGCAGACTGGGAGTCATCCTGTCAGCCAGTATTTTGGTTTATATTCGCAGATATCTGTGATGCCATCTATAAATGTCATCTTCCCCGATAGCGTTTGCACTCATCTGCTGCATCTCATCACACGCCCATCTCCGTGCTTCACTGTCAGGACTGTGCATTCACTGTGACAGTACTGACCAGGTTCGTGTCAAACGTGCTTGATGCCATCTGAACCGACCTGTTCTTATTTGATCAAAGAATGTGCTCACAATATTTCAACCCATCAACCCTTTTTCATGCATTTCAGCAAAGTTTAAACTTGCAGTTAAGTGCTGAAGAGGAAAAAAGTTATTTTTTTCTTGGATGCCGTCTATAGAGGTTGACATAATGCATTGTGAAACTTCACTTTCCGGAGAACCACTACATCAGGGGTGCCCAATCCTGGTTCTCGAGAGCCCCTATCCAGCATGGTTTAGGTGTTTCCCTCTTCCAACACACCTGATTCACATGATCAGGATAGTTATCAGGCTTCTGCAGAGCTTGATGATGAGCTGATCATGTGAATCAGGTGTGTTGGAAGAAGGAACCATCTAAAACATGCTGGATAGGGGCTCTCGAGGACCAGGATTGGGCACCCCTGCACTACAGCAAGTCTGAAGCACTTTGATAGGTAGACTTTGAAAGTAGCGCACTGTGCATGACATCCTTTTTTTAGGAGGATGATCACTGCAAATGTGATTAGTGGTTCTCTATCTCCTGATTACAGCTGGAACTGTGTTTCAACAGATTTTTGTGGGTCACAGATATTCCTGTATCTTATTCCGTCTTTGTGAAGTCACACAATCAGCTTTTTTTCATTGAACTCTTTTCCAGGCAGAGGCCATGAAGAAGACATGCAGATACACACAGCCTATAGTCCAAACTGAGAGACCTGTGGTGTTCACTAGTCATTATATAAACTTGTCTTTAAATCAAAGATGTGCATTAATTGTTTCAATGATCGCAAGTTTTCTTTTTTTGCTTTAAGGATCACAGGTGAATTTGTAGCATTAGGTTTCTACTTCTGGCCTCTATTTTCAATATAGTTCTTTTTAAGCATTTGTTTCTGATTGCTCAAAATAAAAAAATAATCGGCTTGTCAATTTGAAATATTGCAATTATTGAGAGGTGATGCAATTTAAAATCATGATTTTGCACTGGGGTGTCCTCACTTCTGTATATTGTAGCTTGAGTTCAGATTTAATATACAGAATATATCATGAACAGACATTATTTTATGGAGTAAACTAACCAACAACATATAGCAGTATTTCAAGTTAGCTATACATCGAACTAGTGAAATAATAAAATGCTGCTTGTATGTTGTATCATTCAAAATGTTCCAATAAAATAATGTGGATAACTTACACAGTTAGTTATATAGTATATATATATATATAAATGTAACGCTGGTGATCAGCTTTTAATGGTTTATTTTTCTGAATGTCATATTTTGCACTGTAATGTCTAATATACGTTTTGAATCATTTAAACTAACTCACAGTACTATTCCATAGCATAGCAGTATCATTGAAGTGTATTCTGACACACTGCTGATGTCTCTGTGGGCTTTAACTTTATATTTCAGTATACAGCATCCGACGAACATGGTCAGTAAATGGAAAAGGCAGGAATGTTTGATTTGATTGAGCAATGAAACCCCCACGAGGACATGACCGATGACACCTTGAATATGGAATTGCAAGGACGACTTCTAATTTACCTGGAAACATGCATCTTGTATTTCATTTACAGATATCACAGGTGGGTCCAGCGACCCCTTGACCTTCAGGCAGCAGTAATCAGTACATATGATTAGTTAGTGGCTTTTATGAGCTTCTACCATAGCTGTGCCACTGTGCTCAATCTGCAGATATGGTTTCCTGCAAGAAATTTAAACATCACGGTCTTCATCATCAGATCTGCATAATACCAACCAAAATGAGCTTCTGCTGCCATCCTGTGGCCAAATACCATACTGTAACATGTGGTGTTGGAGTCAATGAAAACCTTATTCAATTAGTTTGTTTTCTGGGCACAAAGACTGCACTGTCATGTCAAATAAAGCTACAACATTCAAGAATTTGGCTTTTATTTTGAGGATGTGAGGATTCATGTAAACAAATGTTGGTGCTTTACTCAAACTTAGGGACAACTTAAAGGGAGGCTAATCTTTAAACTGTTTCTGTTTTCAGTTTAATCATTGTCAAAAGAAAATATATATGCAGTTAAAGATATATATTTTTTCAATTCTAAGTTTGCAAATTCAACACTCGCTGTGTCTGATTATTTTAAATATACAACGGCTTATAGAAAAAAAAAATGTGAGAAATGACCATGATAGATTCTTACACTGATTC